AGAAGTAGCACGGCTCTCTTGTAAAACAGGCAAATTTGTTATATAGTTTTAGTTTTTATTGTAATTGATAATTAATGTATATTATAATTAGTATAGTTAGTATTTTTAATATTTTTAAAGTCCTGAATGAGACTACCGTGGTTAAATAAAGTTATTCTATTCTATTCTAAAGTAATTCTAATCCAGTGTTCTCCCTGCATGAAAGAGAATACCAGCCCCACTCCCCGGGAGTATACATTGTCGTAACCCTATTGAGGAAATGACGTACATAGCTTCAGTTTCGATTCCGGTTGACTACAGTTGACTAATTGACTTGTTTGGAGCGAAAAGTCGAAACACAGTTTGTGGTTTTTGATTTTGAAATTTCACACTAACAAGATCCTCAAATTTTAGCTCAACTACGAAATCCTTATTTTAGGATATCAATCATTAAATGCAATTGGAGCTGTTGGAGTGCGACGCTGATTCTGACGCGGTAAGTTAAGAAATCACATCAATTCCTCGTGACCTTGTCTCGAATACTAATTATTCATAATAGTACTGAAATATAACATTCATATCCTTTTAAAGCATTCAAAACTACGTATATTTGTGATGATTAGAGTTCTTTTTGAGCGTGTAGTTAACGAATTATTTGCCATTGAATATGGGTGATATCTGCATGGTAAACAATGTAGGATGCGGATGCTACTACAAGGATCTGAGAAGGAAGGAAAATCAAATACTTTCGAGAATCTTTATAGATTAACAACAACTTATACAATCTTGTACCCTGAGTCTTCGTTTTCTTGGCCTGCGCCAACTGATTGGTTCTTGAAATAGAAACAAATGCTAACGGAAGTGGAATAATTTACAACAATAACTACATAGGACTGAACATTTCGAGTTTTTTATCTCGATCACAGAATACCGGTCATCGCATATTGAGCGTGCACCGATTTCCCGATCACTGGGGATCACGATCATTTACGGACGAGAAAAAAACCATCACAAAGCAAAAAAGACCACATATTTGCACTCAGAAAGCATTAAAGTATATTTCTAAACTACAAAACGAGAATATAAACCCCCAAAATAACCCAAATATCGATGTTGAAAGTGACTTAATTTTGAAGAGATTTCAAGGGTTTTCGTCCGATAACTGCCATAGGAGCCCTGGGGCCGTCCTCTCTTCTCAATAGTCTTTTAAGCCTGTGGAATGATTTCTGTTCGTATGTCGGCTATGTGAGCAATTTGATGGCAAATTTTCGAAATGAAATTCGATTTTCTAACTAGTATGCCGAAAATCCTTGAAGTTTTGAGCTATAATGAAACCAAAACTTCAAAAATATCATAATTTGTCTGCACAAATGTATTTTCTACAATTTTCTACAAATGAACACAAGAAAGATAAATGACTCGGAAGAGAACGATCATATTTTTTTTGATTGATATTTCATGCCTTCATAAACTTTCATATTGTTCCAAGTTGATGTCATGGTCTAATGAATCAGCCAATGGGAAAACGGCAGTATTTACACTGCAAGCTTCACTTTCTGGTTTGGAGTGAAACTCGAAACACAGTTTGTGGTTTTTCAGTTTGAGATTTCACACTAACCCAGGCGCTCTTCAAATTTCAGCTCAACTACGAAATCCTTATTTTAGGAGATCTATCAAATATTGCAATTGGAGAGCGACGCTGATTCTGGTAAGAAATAACATCGAATTTTCGTTTTCAATCACTTGATAATTCGAATTCATGTTTTATCTCGATAGATTACCTTAAATTCTTGCTTTAAAATCATTCATTAAGTCAGTAAAGTAAGAAAATTGGACAACCTCAACTAAATGCATTATTAACAAATATTCAAAATCCGTTTAGTATCGGGTTTACTAGGTCTATTTTTTCGTAGAATGCCTGGACTAAAAAGCATATGTTATCAGGAAAACAAACTGACCAACAAATGCAAGTAAGAACTGTAAACACTTATTACCGCCATGGATTTGAGGATCGCAAAGCTTTTCATCGGTTTTTGTGTAGCGTATGCAGCTCATCGTTGTGATCTTAATCTCACACGGACAAAAAGACAAGAACTGATCTCCTTGTTAGAGGAATGTTTGGTGATGGCTTTTTTCCTAAATGATTTCAATACTCTTGCCTGCATTTATTTAGCACTTGGTCGCTTATACCTTCTCGTCCATCAATCAGCTAAGGCAATCGATTCTTTCCAGAATATTCTAGGTCTTATTACTGCCGGTAGAGTAAATCATGCTGCAGAGATGCTTGCTAATCAATCTTTAGGGGATGCCTATCAATCATTAGGAGAATATCAAAAAGCGATTGAATATTACGAAAAGAGTCTGTTCATAGCAAAAGAGATTGGTGACAGAGAGGTAGAAGGAACTGCTTATGAAAATTTAGGGACTGCCTATGGATCATTAGGACAATATCGCAAGGCGATTGAATATTATGAAAAGAGACTGAGCATAGCAAAAGAGATTGGTGACAGACAGGGAGAAGGAAATGCTTATGGAGATTTAGGGGTTGCCTATATGTCATTAGATCAATATCACAAGGCGATTGAATATTATGAAAAAGCACTGAGCATAGCAAAACAATTTGGCGACAGACAGCTAGAAGTAAGTGCTCATGTAAATTTAGGGATTCTCTATGGATCATTAGGACAATATCACAAGGCGCTTGAATATCACGAAAAGACTCTAGTCATTGCTAAAGAGATTGGTGACAGAAAAGTAGAAGGAGCTGCTTATGAAAATTTAGGGAATGGCTATTATATATTAGGAGAATATCACAAGGCGATTGAATATTATGAAAAGACTCTAGTCATTGCTAAAGAGATTGGTGACAGACGAAGAGAAGGAGTTACTTATAAAAATTTAGGGAATGCCTATGATTCATTCGGAGAATATCGCAAGGCGTTTGAATATTACGACAAGAGTCTGAGCATAGCTAAAGAGATTGGTGACAGACATGGAGGAGAAGGAACTGCTTATGGAAATTTAGGGATTGCCTTTGATTCATTAGGAGAATACCACAAGGCGATTGAACATCACGAAAAGAGTCTGAGCATAGCTAAAGAGATTGCTAACAGACATGGAGAAGGAACTGCTTATGGAAATTTAGGGATTGCCTTTTATTCATTAGGAGAATACCACAAGGCGATTGAATGCCACAAAAAGAGTCTGAGCATAGCTAAAGAGATTGGTAACAGACAAGTAGAAGGAGCTGCTTATGGAAATTTAGGGATTGCCTTTTATTCATTAGGAGGATACCACAAGGCGATTGAATATTACGAAAAGAGTCTGAGCGTAGTTAAAGAGATTGGTATCAGAGATATACAAGCAAGGTGTCACCT